ATATATATATATAGAGAGAGAGAGAGTTAATGCTTCGTACCATTGGATTTCAAGTTCAAACATCTACTCTTCCATTCAACACAAACAAAAAAAAGTCCACAATATCTTGACGTCGCCGATGCCAGAAGGGAAATTACAAAACTAGACATCGCGTCCGAGTCCAAGGAAATCGATGAAAGGACACACGAGCGGGGCGGGACCGGAGGGCAGATTGGTAATTTCGTGAGATGGAGCCCCTGAGAGCTCAGAGTTAGAATCAGACTGAGTTGATTGGTCCACTTTACCCACTGCCTCAGACCCATTCTTGTCAATGAGCTTGTCAGCGTTCACATTTCTGATCCTCACCTCAGATTCTCCTGCTGTTTCAAATTTTCCCAGAAACCCACGTGAGTTCCGGAGCACCAAAATGCATAGATCTATAAGATGTAATCGAATTCCATAAGATATTTCTGCATTTGCCATTTTGGTTATTATATATGTGTGTGTGTATATATATATATATGCAAAAGCGTGCAAACTTAGGGACTTGCGTCTATCGGTGAAAAACGGGCATACATAATATAGTGTAACTGCAAAGTAAATTGAAATAAATGATTATCATGTTTCAAGTCCTATAATGCAGATATGCTTATTTATGATCATTATAATCATGTGTATATATGGATTAAGAGGATAACCCTACCTTTGTAGTGATGGAATTGAGCAGAGCCCTCGTGGAAGAAGAAGAAGCCCTTGCGAGCCCTGGCCGAAGAAGAGGAAGACGGCGAGAGGGAGAGATCGGTGCAAGCCGAGACCGACTCATCCGCCTCGGCCGCGGCCTGTGAAATTACATCGATGCCCTTGGCGAAAGCAGTGTTGGCATTGTTGTTATCGTTGTTGCTGCTGCTGTTCATGATGTTGTGGCTGGGTCTCCGCCTCGAGTTGAGAGCGGAGGTCGAGTGGCGTTGTCGGATTTTGCGAGCCATGATGACGTGCCAATGGTTCTTGACGGCGTTGTCGGTCCGTCCGGGGAAGAACTTGGAGATCAACGCCCAGCGGTTCCCGTAGAGCCTATGTAACGCTAACAGTCTCTCTTCTTCCTCTTCAGTGAACGGTCTCTTTATGATTCTTGGGTCCAATTGGTTGAACCATCTTAGTCTACAGCTCTTCCCTGCCCCCAAGAAAATATTATTTTACTTTACATTATTATATATCACGGCGTTTCATATACACTATTGTTTTGGGTTTCACATGAAAGAAAATGTATGGTTACAAATAAAAAGCTTTCTTGTTGACGGGAAGAAGAAAAAAAGAGGAGATCATCTTCTTTCCCATTAATTTGACCCTTTCATGTAAAATTTATATGCACATTTTGTGCCCTTTTGGTGTTATTGTTTTGAGTTTCATATTTGAACAAGAAAATGTGTGGTTAATGGTTATAATGATATCTTTCTATTGGTGCTCAAATTAGTTTCAAGGATATATATATATATATTACCTGATCTCCTCGCAAGTTGCTCGGCAATGAGGTTCCAATTCTGAGGGCCAAACTGGGCAACAAGCTCTCTAAGCTTAGCATCTTCAGCCGGTCTCCAATGTCCTCTTGCGCAAAGCTTTTGCTTCTCACCACTATGTCTCTTCCTCTTCTTCTTCCTCTTGATCTCTCTCTCTCCTTCTTCTTCTTCTTCTTCTCCTTCTCCTTCTCCTCCTTCAATGTCAATTTCTTGTTCCTCTCTTGAATTCTCAGCCAAACTAAGAAACCCAGCTTCTGTTTGATCAGCATTACCTCCGGTACTGTTCCACGGCTCTTCGTCTTGCCTTTGCCCAGAAGGGCAGATTGGTAAAAAGTTCATCTCTTTCACGATTGCTGAACTATTAGGGTTTTCAAGATTGTTCATTTTTTTCAGTGCAAGCAATGTAAAGATGGGATTTTTTCAATTGGGGTTTGATAAAATGTAAGAACTTTGAAGAAACCAAAACTCTAAGGATGCAAAGAAAGCAGACTTACGAGAGAGAGAGAGAGACCGAAGACGCAATGAGAGGGGTTGAACAGTCGCTTATATAAGGGAGGAGAGAACCTTTGTCAGGCTTAATTTATTTGCCCATTTTTATTTATTTAAAATATTGGTCACAATTTTCTTATTTATTTTTGTTAAAAATGATTCTTTGAATTTTTATTTTTACGATTCCTTCTTTAGCTTCGTTTTCGAAAATCTTCGTTTACATTTCATAAACTAAAATTAAGATATAGAAGATCATAATTTCTCAGTCATTAATCTCTTTTTTTCGTTCATCACTATCTTTTCTATCAAGATGAGAGATATAATACTCCCATATTTCAATAGCATATTGAATACATGGAAATGATTTTATTATAAAAAAGAAAAGAAAATAAAATCTAGTGAAATATGGTGACCGAAGCTTTCAATGGTAAAATCCTCTCCGAGCCTCTACTAAACCCTAGACAACAAGCTGTACTAAAAACTTTATTAAAGGTGAACAAGATTTTGAAAAATGAGAGAAAAAAAATTCTTAGTTTCCTATTATATATATTCGTATGCATAGGTGGAAACAACAATAATTCAAATAAAAACGCAAATGGAAATGATTTTTCTTTTGTCCATATGTCGTGTAGTAATAATTTTTATTGGTAACTTTAAAAGTTTGTGCAAAATTACATTGGAACCGAGACCCACTCGTGTGTTGTTTCATGGGAATTTGGGGTTTGGTTCTTTCTGTCTCGTCGGGGGAAAAAAATATTAGGATCACTTTTGTCACTTCCTAATGCCTCTTTTCGCATAAATCCCTAAAATATTCTAAAAAATAATATCAAAAATGTTTTTTTTTTCACAAGCACATGTTGATATGATTGTGTTTTCGCTTTTTTTCTTATCTTTTA